GACCCCCCCCGCCGCCGTGGTCACTTGCACACTGTCTGCACGCTCCGCGCTGCCCGCAGCCAGCAGGTCAGCTCAGGTCCCTGCAGCTGGCCCCTCTCCACTGACCTTCTCAGGACAGAGGGAGGCTGCGACAGAGACCCTGAGACAGATGGAGAGATGCAGGGATCTGGAGAGGCGGAGACACCAGCAACAGTCGCAGAGACAGAAACCAGATGGGGCTGGGGGAGGGGAGGGCCGTGGGCCGCCGGTGGAGGCTTGGGGCCCTGGGGTGCTGCCTGGGGTGTCCGCGCGTGCCTGGACCAGGGCGGTTCTGCAACCGCGTGGCCGTGGGGCCGTCCTCAGCTGTCACTGGGACCCCAGTTTCCCACGGAGCACCTCCCCGGCCCCTAGGAAGGAGTGAGGGATCCCAGCGGAGGGGCGGGGAGTGAAGGGTGGGTCTGCCTCCTGGCCACGCCCTCCCCCGCCCCTCTGGAGGTTTCTGTGGAAACCGCAGCTGAGGAAGGATGAGTGAAGGTCACATAGCCAGAGCCAAAACGAGGCCGAGCAGAGAGGGGATAGACGGAGGGGTGGGGAGCGAGAACGTGATGAGGCGGGAGAGAGACAGAGATGGGGAGACCACCAGGGGGTCGTGTGGAGAGGGCCGCAGAGAGGGCAGGGCGGGACGGAGAGGAGGTGAAAGAAGGGCGCAGTGAGACTGGGAGGTCACAGAGGAGGAGAGGCAGATGCAGCAGGGAGGGAAGCCATCGAAAGCCAAATGGAGGCCGAGGGCCCCGAGCGGCGAGGAGAGCCGGGCGGAGCGTCCGAGGGAGGGTAGGGGTGAGGCTGGGCGCGCCCGGCCCGGCTCCGCCCGGGAGCTGTCCGTTCAGCACCGGCCGCTTGCGCTCGGCGGCGCCGTCTCGCTCCAGGGCCCGCCGGCTCTCCGCGGTCCTCGGGCAGGCGGGTCACGTCCGAGAGACCCCTGCCGGCACAGCACCCCCAGTCTCCGCCTGCCCCCCTTTGTCTCAGACGCTGGCACTGGGTGTGCCCCTCAGGGACAGGTGTGGGCGAACCCAGAGTCTCTGATGTCTCAGCATCTCGTCTCCACCTCCCGTTCACAGAGTCAATGTCTCTGCCCTTGGGCTGGGCTCTGGAGGCGACCGCCATATGATTGAGACCCCCTGGGGTCGCTCTCCATTTCTGAGTCTCCTCCCTCACCAGCTCCTGCGGTCTCCCTAGTCTGCGGAAGCTGTCTCTGCCTGCATCTCTGCGTCCCTGTGTGTCTCTGTGCCCCCCATCACGGTGTACTTCTGCTGCTCTGTCCCTCTCTGTTGTCCATCTCTGTCCTTGCAGATCTGTCTGTGTGTGTGGCGTGGACCGTGTCGTGGTCCGTTTCTCCTGCGTCTCTCCTTCCATCTCTCGTGCTGAGCTTCCCTGTCCCCTTCAGCCCTGTGACCTTCCCGAGTCTCCCCCCCACTTCTGCAGAGCCGCGCTGGGAGCACGACGCACAGTCATCAGTCTCGCCAGGCTCGTGTCTGAGGAGGGCGTGCATGAGGGACGACGTGAGCCCGGGTCCGAGGTGCAACGTGGGGGGCCCACGGCCTCCCCCAGCCCCGCTGGAAACAGCAGGAGGGGAGACTTAGAATCTCCGGGGAGGCCAGATCTCCCCGCCTCCCCAGGCTTCTCTGTCCCTCAGTTCCATCCTCCGTGGTCCAGGCCCACACCTCTAGGCCCAGCGGGAAGGAGGGAGAGGAAAAGGATGATAGACAACCCGGGCAGGGGGCAGAGCTGGGGAGGGGGCATCTGAGGGCAAGGCACCTGGGTTAAAAGACGTGGCTCCACCCCCTTTCCCAGTCTCCATGGCAACAGCCCAGTCTTTGGGCCCAGCCTCCTTTGCTGCAGAGTCAGCCTCTGTGTTACCATGGCAACAAGGGACAGCCGGAGGGATGGGGACAGGTCAGAGTACAGGACTGGGATGAGGCTCTGGTGCTGGAGGAAGCCTCCCTGCCTCCTTCTGCTCTGTCCTTGGCCATCTCTCTGTGGCCCTGAATCTCGTTTCTTTCTATTTCTTTCTGTGTCTCCCACTCTTTCAGTCTTTCATGCATTCCTCTGCTCAGGTCCTTAACTCACCCATGCACCAAGCTTGACCGTCCCTTGTCCGTGTCCCCCACACCTCGCTTCCACAGGT